TCCTGCGTGTGCGGCCCCTTTGTATCTTCGTGGCCTGCGTCTGACAGTTTGGGCTCGGCAGCCCGGGCTCTTTGTCTGTCGCCGCCTGTCCCGTCCAGCAGGAACACCTCGCTCTCCAGAGGTTGGGGTGAAGAGGCTGGGGGGCGGCCAGCTGGAGGCCGCGGGCTAGAGAGGGGACTCCGGCGCGTCTCTGAGCGCGGGACAGGGAGGTGTCAGCGTTCCGGAAAGGAGGGGACGGCCGAGGAGAGCGCCCCAGGTGGGGTGGCCGCGGGGTGCACGGAGAAGGCGCCGGCGGGGGGCTGGGCGCGAACCCCTGCTCTGTCTGTGACTAACGTGCCGCTGGGAGCGTGTGTTTGGGGGCACGGAGTGTCACAGAAGCGAGGAAGGGGACAGGGGAGACCAGTGGCTAGTTTAGGCCCTGGAAAGACCCCCCCAAGGAATCTGAACCCCACTATTCTAAGCGCTGTGAGCGGAGCGCTGAGGAGGAGCGGAGGAGACCTTGTCTTGACCCCCTGACCTCAAGACCACCGGGCAGCGGGCCGGCCGCGGGGAGACCCCTGCTGGGACGGGGCGGGACCGCTGGCCGCGGCCGCCGGAGCTGCCCCTCCCGAGCGGAGCTGGGGCGAGGCCCCTCCTCTGCCTCAGACCACCCTGCCTGCCCCCTGCGCCCCCGTCTGAAGCCTCTTTCAGGCCCCGTGACCCCGAAACAATCCGCCCTGGGCAACTGGCTTTGGGGAGAGGATTAGGAAAGGGGATCCCATAGACCGACGTTTTTAGGGGGCTGGAGAACTGGGGTCTTCGTAGGTTAGGGCTGTGCGGTCTCCGGTAGAGGCAGAAGCCGGGGCGACTTCCCCGGAGACCTGCCGGAGCCCTATCGAGGGCGGCTTTCCCTCGGGGGGCGGGTCCAGAGACCCCCCTCATTATCTCCCCGGCATCCCCTGCCTGGCGGCAGAGACCCCGCCCTTGACGTCACTTAGGGGTTCCCGGGGGTCTGGAGGGGTTAACCCTTGGGAAGCCAGCTGGGATCCCCAGAAACCTAAGGTGCTCCGGGCGCCTTTTCTCCCCACTCACACCTAATCTCGGCCACTCACTTCCTCTACAGTTTCAGTGTCCTTCTTTCCCCCCCGCC